TATTTATTTTTGACCCCTGGCCAGTACAGGAATCCAAACCCTTGACCTTGGAGTTGTCAACTGAGATAACAAGCCAGCCCTCTCATTGTTTTTTAATACAAATGAAGAAACCTTACAGAGCTCTTATTTGGATACCCCACATGATTAAAAACTTTATACCCATAATACACAGTTCTGGTTTTTATTACTTTATGACCTCTCACAAATGGAAATTTGTTCAACTTGAAAATTTAATGTTGGCTTTAATGTTATACCATAGGAAATCTCTTTTAAGTTTATTTCAATGAGTTTTTAAAATATTATTTAAAAGGCCTCTTTCTCTGCACTCTTACTCAGCTGAGAGGCTCACATTACATCAAACAATGAAAGTGCTTTCATTGGTTAAAACATTACAAAGTTTCATGTTCTGAAAGTGTTCTAAATTTTGGCTTCTGTGCCTTTATTTTATCGAGCACATACACGTGATATCAGAGGTTAACCATTGTTTTAGTCCGTTTTGTGTTGCCATGATAGAAATACCTGAGACTGGGTAATTTATAAGGAAAAGAGGTTTATTTGGCTTATGATTCTGGGACAGCTGCATCTGGCGTGGGCCTCAGGCTGCTTCTACTCATGGCGGAAAGCGGGAGACAGCCAGTGGGTACAAGCAGATCACATGGCGAGAGGAAGCAAGAGAGAGAGAGAGAGAGAGGAAGAGCCAGGGTCCTTTAAACAATCAGATCTCACGGGAACTAATAGAGCGAGAACTCACTCATTACCCCTCCTCCTCCAGGGAGAGCATTCATCCATTCATGAGGGATCCGCCCNATTTCTAATTCAGTTTGTGTCTCATTAACCCCAATCAGAACACATTATATGGATGTCCTGACAGAATGTGTGAAAAGACTAGTGCCTAGCCGTATGCCATATGCATTACAGGCAATTTTTAAATGTTTTTTGAATCAAAAAATAGTGGAATAAATGCTTGGAAATTAATAAATGGAGGAATGAGTGGCTGTAACTATACAATTAATCTTAGATTAAGAGAAAATGGGTTAATTTATTTTAAATTCTGATTTAATTTTATAACATATAATTTTTCTCTACTCTCTAGCCTCTAGTACTTTGAGCCAGTAAGACATCCCACCTTACAGACCCTCTGTTTTTATTTATGACCTGACCTGCATCTATTCTTATCTTCTCTCTAATATATATATATATTAATATAACACAATATAATGTAACATATATATGCCATATATATATATATGTGTGGAATAGGAAGATTTATCAAAAGTTCTCTAAATGTTTTCACAGTAGGCTTTCCATATGTTTAAAACTAGTACAGAGATGGTGGGAAAGTTCTGAAAATTTTCAACTTCCCCCACAAAAATAAAATAATTTTTCCAAAAATAAATATGCTGACTGACAGTCAGCCAAAAGGAGTAAGGTAGGAGACTAAAGAAGCATCTGAAAATTTCAGTTCCAGGACATTCAGAATGATGTTCGAGTTGTGTCAGCAGTTTTTAGTAGAAACTGGAGATTTCCTCTGTCTTTATTTGCATGTAGAACAATGTCTGCCTTGTCAAAATACAGTTTTCTATGTCTCTTGACTGGTATCCTTTGCAGGTCATTATTTTTAACCTAGAGGCTACATTTAGAATGTCATGTTACTAGCTTAAAAGTAGCCAAGCTCTGGGTATAGCAAGCAAGTGTCATCAACCAGAGGTCCAGAGAAGCAATGCTATTATATTAAGGCAAAACTTGGCCTCACAAGCTTTGGAAAAACTGTTTCCCAATATAATCACTGCTATTGACTTGAAAAATAAGGTGTCTGCAATGTTTTTTACTGTTCTTATCCTTACATTTATATCTAGGTTATAGCGAGCCCACAGGAAACTATAACCCTGCTGTTCGAAGTCTTCACAATTTGGCTCATCTGTTCCTGAATGGAACAGGAGGACAAACCCACTTGTCTCCAAATGATCCCATTTTTGTCCTCCTGCATACTTTCACTGATGCAGTCTTTGACGAATGGCTGAGGAGATACAATGCAGGTGAGATGCTTTCATATATACCTTTTACAGGCTCAGCCAGGGGGATTGTTGAGATGGCAAAGTTATCAGTTTAGACTAAGCACTTGACACATACAAGATATGCTTCAAAATAAGCATAAAATAGCTATAGTATCTCGCCATTGCCAAATATTCAAAACTACTTTTTTTTTTTTTTTCCTTTTTTGTCTTTTCTCGTGTCCGGCAACGGACCGCAACCCTCAGTGTCGCGCCCGCCCCTCGCTC